ATATATATATATATATATATATATATATATATATATATATATATATATATATATATATATAGAGAGAGAGAGAGAGAGAGAGAGAGAGAGAGAGTAGTAGGATACAAAATCAAATTACAAAACCAGATGGTTGTGGCACATGCCTTTAGTCTCAGCACTCAGGAGGCAGAGGTAGGAAGATCTCTGTGAGTCCGAGGCCAGCCTAATCTACAGAGTGAGCTCCAGGACAGCCAGGGCTACACAGTCAAACTCTGTCTCAAACAAAACAAAACAAAAATACAAAACCAGTAGCCTTTTCTATACACCACCAAAAAGCATGCTGAGAAAGAGATCAAGGACACACTCCATTTACATTGGCCCCAAAGAAAATAAAATGTCTACGAATAAACTGAATCAAAGAAGACTTCTCCAATGGAACAAAAATTAATGCCAAATGGACTAAATTGCTAAAGGCCTCAGTATGAAACCCTGCAAGATACCTACAAGATGCATAGGAGAGGACTTTCTGAATAGGGCTCCATTTGCTCAGGAATTAAGACCAATGATTGACAAATGGAAACTCATAAAAAACCTTCTTACAGCAAAAGAAATAATCAAAACTTTTTTTCTAATTCTATGAGGAATGTGGGGATTTTGATTTGGATTGCATTGGAAGCCCTCAAAGTGAATGAGAATCTTTGCCAGCAGTGTATCTGAAGAACAATTACTAGCCATAATGTACAAAGCACTCAAACAAACTAATAAAACCACTAAATTCAAGAAAACAAATGACCCTACTTTAAAAAATGGGCTATGGATCTAGACAGGGAGTTCTCAGAAGAAGAAATAAAAAATAATTAAAGAAAATCTCAAAAAGTGTTCAACATCCTTAGCAATTACAAAAATGCCAATGAAAACTACTTTGAGTGGTTTTACTTTCATCTTGCCCCGTCAGAATGGCTGAACTCCAGAAAAAAAAACCAACAACAAAGACTGGTAATGATATGGGAAAGGGGAAGGTTTGCTCACTGTAGATGTGGCTGCAAAGTGCTGTTGCCACTCTGAAAATCAGTTTGGAGAAGTCTCAAAAAGGTAAAACAAAATCTACCAGATGACCCAGCTACTCCTTGGCACGTGTCCAAAACATCCTATTCCACAGAAATGTGTTCAGCCGTGTTCACTGTTGCCCTATTCATAATAACTTGGAAATGGGAACAACTTAGATGTCCTTCAAGTGATGAATGGATCGTGAAAATGTGGTACATACACACTACACCATAGTACTCAGCTGTGAAGAAAAAATGAAATTATGAAATCTGCAGTGGATGAAACTAGAAAATTATATAGAATGAGATAACCCAGACCCAGAAAGACAAACGTAGCATGGTCTCCCTCATGTGAGAACCGTAGTTCCAAACCTTCAGATGCTGGTACATAACCAGAAAGCAGCAAAGCAAAAAGGGACCATGGGGAGGGGGTAGCACTAGAGAAGAGGGAAATGGGAGTTGGGAGGAAGGTCAATAAACAGAGAGAGAGAGGGTAAAACAACACTAATAATGTCTGAAAAAAAAGGAATTATTTACCTAAAATTACACATAATAAATGTAAATCTATGTGTATAAACACACATACATACGCTTAGAGAGAGAGAGAGAGAGAGAGAGAGAGAGAGAGAGAGAGAGAGAGAGAGAGCTTAGAATAACTTAGGAAAAAATACATTTTGTAAGCTAAGTTATCCCACTCAGGCTGACATTGCTCCCCCAAGAGGCATAGACTATATAACAAAACCCCCAATACCAGGCATAAGAAACCCCATTTCAAGTTGTTGGCCAGGGAGGGCAGTTGGAGAGAGTGAAAAGATCTGAGAATCATCTGGCTACTGCTGTTGCTTTTAGTGGCCTCCCAGAACTGACGGTTAGTCCGTATTGCTGGAGACATGACACACTTCACACACAGGACTTGGAGGAATAATCCAGCTGGAACCCACCTGGAAGCCTCCCCTCCCCCACCCAGGACTGGCTTTCATAGTCTCAGAAGGTGCAATGCAAGCTGCCAAGGGAGAAAAGCAGTCAATAGTCTACCCAGCTATAACTCCTATGTATATTGTAACCACAAGCAGTAAACGGCACTTTTCTTTTCAAACATCCTAGGAACATTTTTGAGGAAAGATCACATGTTAAGACAAGGAGCATGTATCAGTGAATTCAAAATTAAATCAGGTCCCATTGCCTAGTACCATATTTGAAAATGGAGATATTGGAATTTGGGGGAGGAGATGGATTTTTTTTTTATTTAGACAGTGTGCATGTGTCCCAAGCTAGGTTCAAATAAACTGTAGCTGAAGGTGATGTTCTGCTCTTTCTGCCTCTACCTTCTGAATGCTAAGATTACAGGCATTAAAACCTGAGACTCCGGGCTGCCTTATACCATGCTGAGGAGTAGCCATGAATAGTGTTATGCATGCTAGGCAAGGGCTCCATGCAATAAGCCACACCACCAACTCAGAAATGAGTATCTTTGCAATCTCGACCAGAACTAGAGAGTAAAAAATTCTCAGGGTCTGCGCTCCTTGACGGCAGCAGTTTCGGGCTACACAGCAAAGAGCAAAGGGCAGGAAACAACATATGGAGATTTAGTTGGAGATAGTTCCAGAATTCTGAGGTATGTCTTTCAGTGGGAAAAGAACTCCTCCTCAGGCATGCTAGAAAAGGAACTGCCTGGGGATAGAGATATTGGATCTTCGGGGTCCTTTCTAGTCTCAAAGTGACCAGGACATGTTGCGAAAACTTGTCTGCCTTGGGACCAGCCTGACCACATACCAGTGAAGGGGCTGCTTGACAGACAGTTCCTAGATGGAGATCAAGGCCTGGTCTTGACCCTTTGATCATTCAGAGACGGCATTAGAAGTGTATGTGTTCAAGAGAAAGGTGAGGAACCTCAGCACAGATGTGACAATTCTCACAGGCCCACAGTACTTAACAGCACTAACAAGGCTTAACAGTACTACTAAACCCCAATCCATGCCCAAGCTCCTGTAAAGGTAGACCACGCAAATAAGACAGACTCTAAATTCACTTTCTATGAAAACCCAAAGAAAAAGACCCCATGGATAATCTTTATTTCTGTTCTCTGTCAATTAACAGGTGCCTAGTGTGAACTACTAGGCCTTGAGAAGGGATTGTCTCGCTGTGGTTCTGTCTGGCCTGGAAATCACTGTGTAAAACCAGACTAGCCTGGAACAGATCCACTTCTTCTGTCCCCAGAGTACTGGAATTAAAATCATGAAAAAGCACCCGCAAGTAACCAAGTGATAGTCTAAAAACATTTCTCCAAAGCCTCCGGAGTTTTTCTTCTTCAATACAAGTCTGTTGGCACAATTGACCATCACACCTTCCCTAGGAAGATAATTTACCAAGGCAAAGCTGCAACTTGGAGAGTCTCGCGTGCATCCCAAGGACGGTGCCTTCCCTGCAAACACATCCTGCTCATTTCTGACCTAACTTCTCTGTTTTGCACTCCACGGGCTCAACTCGTGGCAGCAGGAGGTCAAATGGGAGCCAGGATAACATTCTCACGATTGGATAGTTAGTAACCTGTACTACTGGCCCCGGGGCAAAAAGAGAGCTCTTCCTGGTTGAGAAGCCCGGGCTTTCGTAGTCGCCAGGAGCTCCAACTCAGAGTCTGCTGAGGCAAGCTGCAAGTGAGCATTCAGGACATGGAGCGCCGAGAGACCAACTACTTGCTTCATGGGGGACTCGATGAGGATGAAAAAAAATCGAATGGTCAGTGCATGTTGGGAATGGTGGGTTGGAGATGTCCATGAGGAGAGGAGTGTCCCACAGAGACGACGAGAAAGGTGCCGTGCACTGCCGGCTTTGCCGCAAATTCACGGCACCATCAGACCACCCTGGGCTCTGACTCTTGTCTTCCTCTGTTTCCCCACTTCTAGGTGCGAACGCACCCATGCTCTTGCCGGCTGGAGAGGGGAGAAATGAGGAAGCGAGTGGACAAGGCCAGCCTGGGCGGGAAGCCGCAGCAGCGGAAGGGGAAAGAGCCCGAGAATTAAGTGGAGAAGGCCCCTCGGCTGCTGATGCTGCAGGCCTCGAGGATGGCGGGAACCAAGAGGGCGCCTGTGGCAGTGACCACGAGAATGAGAAGCAGCCATCTAAGAAGCCGGCTGGAGAGGGCCTGTGGCTTGCAGAAAGTGCGCAGCCAGTGACGGTGCTGGTGCGCCAGCGTTGCTTCCACTACAAGTTCAGCCCGTGGCAGTTGCAGGAGCTGGAGCGGTCTTTCCAGCATAGTCACTACATCAGTGCAGAAGTAAGGTAAGCAGATATCCTGGCCTTTACTCCCTGTTTCCTGGGATGGCTTTTGGCTTTCTCCCTGGTCCTCCTCCTGCCACCCCTTCAAAATTGCTTATTATTTATTCCTTTGTTGTGTTTTTGTTTGTGGGTGTGGGAATGTGTTTCTCTTGGCGTAGGTTTCACTTGACACACGCAGTGGTCAGAATACAACTTGAGTTAGTCTCTTCTCTACTTCCACCGTGGGAGTCCCAGGATCAACCTCAGGCCATCAAGCTGGCTGGCCATCACCTTTACCTTCTGAACTATATCCTCGGCCTCTCTCTTACCCTATCTAAATAAAAACCACTTCCAAAATCAAGGCCGCCAGACTTCCTGCACTAGTGTGCTAGGGTAGGGGTGAGAGTCATGAAAAATGGGTGTCCTGGCTAGTTTTATGTCAACATGACACAAGCTAGAGTCATCAGAGGAGGGAGCCTCAGTCGAGAAAATGCCTCCATAAGATCAGGCTGTAGACAAGCCTGTAAGGTATTTTCGTAATTATTGATTGATCTGAGAGGACCCAGACCACTGTGGATGGTACCAGCCCTAGGCTGGTGGGTCATTCTGGGTTTTAGAAGAAAGCAGCTAAAGGAGCCATGAGGAGCAAGCCAGTAAGCAGCTCCCCTCCAAGGCCTCTGCATCAGCTCCTGCCTCCAGGTTCCTGTCCTATTTGACTTCCTATGCTGACTTCCTCCAATGATGATCTGGAAGTGTAAGCCAAATAAACACCTTCCTCCCTGATTTGCTTTTGGTCATGGTATTTTCATCACAGCAGTAGTAACCCTAAGACAATGGGAATGAAGGTATTTTCATATAGTATTTCAATGAATCAGAGTGGAAAACGTTGGGCAATGTCTTCTATATGAGTAAAGCCCTGTTAAAAGAAGTGTGAAAGGTTGGATGGTTAAAATAATAGAGGGTGACGTTCTCGGTGGAAGGAGGGAACCACCACCCATCAGTTGCCCTTTGACCTGCACAGGTATGCACACCCCTACACCTATGGAATGCATGCACTAACACACACTAAATAAATTAAACAAATAAATGTAACATGTCATTTCCCTGGTGATCTGCAGGCTGGGCATCCTCATGAGTTAATTAAACATTAGAAATCTTCAGATGTTCCGCATTAATCCATATTTTATTTGAGCTTGCCCTTCAATCCTGACAAAAGCCTCACACGGGTTTTTCCTCTTTATGTTTGTTTTGTAGCTTTTGTTTTATTATTTGAGAAAGTCTCCTGATGTTCAGAGCATTTCTTTTGAGGTTTTTGCTGTCAATATTAGTGTTTTTCAAATGCTTATTAGGGATGTGGTGTGTTTTTATGTCCATTAATGGATGATGATAATAAACAAAATTACCAGCAGAATTTTTTAAGCTTCAAAATCTTCAAAGTGAATGTCACAGAAGGTAAAGGATGGGACAAACATTTAAAAACAAATATAAAGTATCTTTCACATATTTTATTTCACCCAAGATGCCCAGTACTGAACCTCTGCCTTTTTGCCCTCAGAAAACAGCTGGCAAGATGGATAGGTGTGACTGAAGCTAGAGTTCAGGTAAGGAGAAGACAATTTGGCAAGACAGCTGTTCTAGAACTTGCTTTGTATCTTGGATACTTTCATCCTGTGGGTGAAGTTGTTGTGTTGTGATATTTTTTTTTTACCTCATCATTTTTCAAAATGACACGTTTTTTAATGTTTTTTTAAACAATTCATGTGTATAGATATGTCTGTGTCTATATGCAACATGAATTCAGGTACCCTCAGAGGCCAGAAGAGGTTGTCAAGTCCCCTGGAGCTTGAATTAAAGGTAGTCATGAGCTACTTTATATAGGTGATGGGAGCCAAACTTGGGTCCTCTACAGGAGCAGCAAGTGCTTTTAACTCTTAGAGATCTCTACAGCCCCCTTAAAATGACTTTTAAGCTTTATCCTCTTTGTGCGTATAAAATGGATTAAGAAAATACAATCCACTTAAAATGGCTCATTTCAAGATGAAGCACAACTTCCAAAAAGAACACACTCCTTAGACACGTATGTATCACACATACATGTGTCCTGTAGATAATTATGAATGTGTGTTTTAGCATATAAGATATGTATACATTCTATGAATTAATAATTGTATTAATAATATATTGATATAGAAATGTGTGTGTAACTCCTTGTAACACTAATATTCTTAAGAATGTCTCTGTGGAGACATCCCACTGAAGTTATGAAATATATATTATTCAAATTAACTCAAATTAACTTATTTGAATTAATTTGAAAAGAATCAGAGAGTTCCGTGATCCTAAATTGTATTTTTTTTTTTTTTGGTTTTTTTGAGACAGGGTTTCTCTGTGTAGTTTTGGTGCCTGTTCTGGAGTTCACTCTGTAGACCAGGCTGGGCTGGAACTAACAGAGATCCGCCCACCTCTGCCTGCTGAGTGCTGGGATCCTAAATTATTTGAAATACTGAAAACTAAGCATAGATTTATCCTTACAGGAGTAATTTGGGTGTGTGGATAGTGGACAGTCAGAACCCGGCACTGATAATGTTGATGTAAACTTGGTTAAACAGAGACTGAAGGGAATGGGAAAGCAGAGTCCAAATGCCTGGTCCCTCTGCTGTTTTGAAGCATCTGGTGAAGCCACACAGATAAGGACACCCAGACCCTTAATTATCTGAAGCACGCTGGTGCATCTCCCTGAAAATCCTGCTGACTTCCTCGATAGTGAATTACTGTAGGAAGCAGGGAAGGGCATGCAACGTTTGGACATTTGTCTGGGGACTATTTTGCAGTCCTGGGGTGGATACCAGGCCCTCCCACATTTTAGACAGCAGGTTCTTCTGTGTAATCTAAATTATAGAGGGCAGCTAATGTTACATGGTGTGTTTTCTGATTATTATCGTGATTACTCTACTGAATCGATTTTTTTTTCTGGCTTGTAGAATTGGTTTAAGGGGAGACGAGAACAATACAGGAGAGATCAGAAGCTATAAATGCTCAGAGGTGCTTCTTTCCCCGAAGACTGTGGAGGAATTCTAGCCAGATGCTCATAAGCTTTTGCTGACACTAACGCTCTTATACCCTCAGCATCTGCATTTTCAATAAAGGTGTGACTTCTCTGTACATTTGCTCCATTTGTTTTCAAGAATTAGCAAGACGGCTGTGTAAACTATCAAGGACCTGTCATTTAAACCCAATGACAAGGTCTCTTTCCAAAAAATGCACCACTGAGTCAGCATCAGTATACCCTGAATCCTGCCGGTGTTTCCCAAGTACCATAGTAGGTTTGCACTGCCTCATTCATTCTTTTCCACCCCACTATCATCTGTTCCCCCACTCTTAACTTGACAGACCACAAATGTAGAAGAAGGGGAGGACAAGTCCCTGGGAAGAAACAGTCTTTCCCAAAAGCAGAGCTAATTCTGCCCATCCTGGGAATCTGGTTCTAACCTTGGACTCTGACAGAAACCTTCTAAGAGAATATTCAAAGACTTCTTGGGAAACAGGTAGCAAAAGGCTACCTTTCTGCTCCAATTCTCTCCACTGCCCTCCCACTGTATGAAGCACTCGGGGAACTTAGGAGTGACTCTGCCAGAGATCTGTGCTTCAAAAAGAACACTAGAATCCATCCCATCCAGTCTGCAGCGGGGTTTCCATCTCTTTTGTGTCCTACCCCCAGTCCAGGAGGTATATTATCCGTTGTCCCCAGAGCAGAAGTTGACTGACACTCCTTAAGGTAGATTTTTCAAACTGTATAATTCTCATGATTTCAAAAACAGAGTAATACTTAAAAAATTTTTATACTCCTGATAAACTGACCATGACTTTCAAAAATCAAAAGAGAAAACAAAACACCCAGTGTACTACGTTATTGTGTCCTTCATGCTGACTCTATGTGGCAGCCGTACACTGAATAGTGCCAAAAAGAAAAAAAACAAAACAAAAACAAAAAGGTGGCCCTACTGCAGCCAGGATCTGTATTGATGGCCATGGCTCCTGTTACCATCAAAGGCTGGGCTGATGCCTGCGGTCTGGGCTGCCACCTGGTGACATGTTGGCTTTTGGGGTCCACAGCAATCTTGGTGATCTGCAATGTCAAGTAGGGTCAGGGTGACATCAGGCCCAGGCTGTTACCAAGAACCTACTCTGGGTCTGTGGTCCTATTGCACCCTGAGTCTGTGCTGATGTCCATGGCCCATGTCGCCACCAAACAGCACACTGATGCCCAGGGTCTGGGCTTCCACCGGTGGCCTTCTTGGTGCCTGAGGTCTGTGCTGCTGCCAGGCCCATACAGACCTGAGTGACATGTGCTACCACCCAGGGTCAGGGCATCACACAGGCCAAGCTGCGGCTGGGGCCATGTCTGGGTCTGTGACCCTGCCACTTCCAAATTCTGCACTGATGTACAAGGCTCCTATTGCCATCAAAAGCTGTGCAGATGCCCAAAATCAGAAACCCCACCTGGGGTGATGTGGGTGTTCAAGGGCCATGCTGCCAATGGGTCCATGCTGATCAGAGGGACCTGCATTGCTAACTAGGGCCAAGGTGACATCAGGCCTAAGCTGCTGGGAAGGACTGTGTCTGGGTCCATGGTCCAACCACAGCTGGGGTCTGTATAGGGTTCATTCTCATTCAAACCACCACACCACCCATATACATTTTTTTAAAGATTTGGGTTTTTTAATTTTTTTTGTATGTACGGGTGTTTGCCTGCATGTATGTCTGTACACCACATGTATGCAGTGCCCATGGAGGGCATAAAAGAGCACTGGATCCCCTTGGAACTGGAGTAACAGGTGGTTGTAAGCCTCCAAGTAGTTGCTGGGAATCAAACCCAGATCCTCTGGAAGAGCAGCCAGTGCTCTTAACCACAGAGCCATCTCTCCAACCTCAACACGCATAATTTTTGTAGTTGATCATCCAGCCAGAGGTTGAATGGGACAAAAGATAAGGCTCACTAATTTAAAACAGCCAGTGTCAATACTTTTTTGACTTATGTGAAATCACAATTGAGACCTAAAAGGCCTTAGTTGAATTATGCAGTGGGCTATCCTGGGAATAAGAAAATGGGCTAAATGATAAATACTGTGTGAACAGACCTCATCTTGGAGTTTTGTATGTTATCCCCTCTCCCCAACCCTATCATCCTACCTGAACAGGAATTATTTGGGCCACTTGGCAGAAGACAGACTAAATGGTTTTGGGGTTTTTTTTTTCTGTAGTTATGAGGAATAGTAGAGCCAGAGGCTTCTGGAAGAGTACAGAGCAGAGAGAGAAAGTAGTCGATTAAACATGACCAGTAGACTGGACCAGGCCAGAGTGGGGGTTGGGGGCAGTAAGGAAGAGAAAGAGTGCGGGTAAAGGAGACCAAGAAATAGAGACAAGAGAAGGGGGACCAAGAAAGGAAGACAAAAGAGAGGACTAAGAAGGTGCATGGCTGAAATGGCTGGGTTATACAGGAATGAGAAGCTGAGGGAGGGAAGCCCAGGAGCTGGAGAAGCTTAGGGCAGGGGCCGGGTGAGAGAAGCTGAGAAGAGCCACAGGTAGTTTCAAACCTGAGGAAGCCTGGAGGCTATCGTGAGCTCTGGTATGCTAACAGGCTCCATAATTGCTATCTTTCCCTTTCCCACAGTGATAAGGAAATGGCTCCTTTGAGAGAGGGTAACAGACCCCAGAATTTGGAGGAGTGGAATTTCCTTTAGACCTCACACTGACCATACAGCCTCCGCAGCTTCTTTCCTTACCCCTCCCTTCTCATTCTACTAGCCACTGCCTATAGTAGTTTAAAAGCACTCAACCAGAATGTATGTAACCATATATAAAAGACAAAGACACCCATGATGTATTAATGCCTCAACCTTGTGCCATTTGGGGCTCTCTAGTTTTCCGATATCAATCCTCTAAATATATTGTTTCCTGGTAAAACGAAGCCGTTTTATCCGGTTTCTTGAGCTGGAAAGCCTACTACAAAGTTAATGTACTGTACAACACTACTAAGTTCAGAGGTCAGCTTGGGGTGAACTCTCTCCCCTTGAATCACATTTACAGCAGCTTTTGTTTGCTTTCAAAAAGCAGAAAACTACTTAGGGTCTCTTTCACAAGTTGGAAGCTTAGTTCCAGGAGGTCTTACCCTGGAGGTCCTTCCTATTGTCCTATTGCACGAGAGTAGATTAGGAGGCCTCACCTTCGCTGCTAATCTTCACAACTACAGCCTGGACAACAAGCCTTGCTTGCAACATCAAGCTCCCCAGAGCTCTTCTTTTCTCCAAACTGAACACTTTGTTTTTCTTTCTGCCCCACTTGTTTTTCATTGCAGAGCTACAAATGCATTATTACTACTAACCATGCCGCAGATTCACTATAATGCTATCTGGAACTTTCCTTTCATTAGTCATTAGTACTTTTCAATTTAGCCTCAGGCAAATTATTAGGATGAGCAGATGGCAGCCAAAATATCACAAGAATGTCCTCTACCCCAGTTGCTCCTATTTTCCTCCTCTGAAGCCTCTTGATCCAACCCTCCATGGTTTTGCAATGCTCCCAGCACTACTGTCTTCCAGGCTCCCACTAGGATAGTCCCCTAGGCTCTGTTTACAGTGTTCAACTATGTTTCAAGTCCAAAATTCCAAAGTCTTGCACATTCCTCAAAACAAAAACAAAAACATTGTCAAGTTCTTCACAGCAGTAGCCCACACTCAGGTACCAATTCTGTATTAGTTACTTGTCTGTTACTATGATAAAATGCATGACCAAAAACATCTTATAGAAGAGAGAATTTAGAGACTGGAGAGATGGCTCAGAGGTTAAGAATGCTGTTTGTTCTTCCAAAGGTCCTGAGTTCAATTCCCAGCAACCACATGGTGGCTCACAACCATTTCTAATGAGATCTGGTGCCCTGTTCTGGCTTGCAGGGAGGGATATGTGCAGGCAGAACACTGTATACATAATAAATAAATAAATCTTTTTAAAAAAAAGAAAGAAGGAAGAATTTATTTTGGCTTAGGTATCCAGAAAGATGAGAGTTCATCATGTTGGGAAGATATGGCAGCAAGTGGCAGACATGGCATTAGAATCTGGAATCTGAGAGATAACACCCTCAACTGGAAACACACATCAGGAATAAACTGGAAGGGAAGGGAAGCTATAAATCTTGAAGCCTAACCCCTGCGATGCACTTCCTCCAGCAAGGTTACACCTTGCCATGACCTCCGTAAAGAATTCCACCAACTGGGGACCAAGAAGTTCAAATACTTGAGCATTAGAAAGAAACAGGACACGGCGTTGGATGGGTAATGAAAGGAACGGATATGGGAGGAGGTGGGGAGGTGTGGTTAAAATGTGTTGTATGAAATTCTCAAAGGATTACTAACATAAGAAAAAATAGATAAACAAATAAAATCTTTAAAAATAGTACTCTTGGGAACTGAACATTTAAAGAGTGGAAGCAAAAGGTAAGGACATGACCGCTCTAAGGTCTGTTGAGGGGAAATTTTTTATTGTAGATATGAAGGAGAGTACAGCCAGGGACATCTGGTAGAATCCAGACCAGGGAGAGAAAATAGTAGACTAAACATGGCCAGCAGAGAAAACTTGGCCATGAGAGGGTCGGGAGAGTAAGAGAGGAAAACCAAGAGAAGACAAAAGAAAGAGAGCAAAAAGCCATGAGAGCGCATGGCAAAAATGGCAGGACTACATGGGAATCAGAAGCTGGGGGAGGGAAGTCCACAGGCTGGAGAAGTTTAGGGTTAAGGTGGGGGGACATGAGCTGAGAAGAACCACAGGTAGTTGTGAAACTGAGGCAGTCTGGAGTCCAGCATGAGCCTTGGTGTGCTAATAGGTACCACAAATAACCATTTGTTGTGAGTTTCTCTTGAACCTGATATTCAAGCCTTTTTGTTGATAATAGGGGGCAATACAATCTCTTATGTAACTGCTTCTTAGCTGAAGTTAGAGTGTAGCTGTCAGAGGCCAGGAAATCTGGAATGCCAGTCAAAGGCTGGAAGTGGGGAGAGGATTCAGGCACATCTCTTTTGCTAAATGATTCTGAAGGACCCACCTGGGACCGGAGTTTTGAGGT